CACAATAAAAATGTTAATTCAAAAGATTTGGGATATCCCTACTTATGTCCAAAAATGCTTCCAGAAAATCACCTTAACAATAACTCAGTATTTTAAATATTGAAAATTTGTCCTAGCTGGAAAACAATTTGGGCAAAATTGTACTGAAATGAAAACTATTTCAGACCCTTAATAAAGGGATATTTTCAGTTTTCCCATGAATATTACAGAGTAATATTTTTGTATTTAATCCAAGTCAGTCTGCCCATTTCTCAGTCAGCATAGACACGCTGATCAATTCATATCTGAGCAGGCATCTTTCTTCCTACTGTGTTCAATTTCTCCATTCAAAACCATCATTTAAATAAATAAATAAAACCTTCCTTCATCTGTGTTCCATGCTACAACAGTTCTCATCAAGAACAGCAAAGGTTTTCTGGATAGGTCACACATTTAAACCTAGGAAATAATTACTAGCAGGCACTCCTGCTGTCAAGCAATCCTACATTTGCCTAACTGAAGCCCAAATAACACAAAATCAATTTGGAGGTCTTGTTAAAGCCTTGTTTTGACCTCCTCATTGGTGTACATTGTTTATCTTTTTCAGCTTTAACCAAGTCTTTTATCATTTTAAATTCTCCAAGTCACCTTGAAGTCTTCTTTTTTTGCAGAGAAAATGTCAGCATTTGTTTTTCCTCTGCCTTCACTCCCATTAAAAATATTTCTCATTTATCTCAAACTGCCTTTTTCTAATCACTCCCATGAAAAGTCACTCAAAAATGTACAGCACAGAGTGTGCCATAACATGTTCTTTGTTGTTATGGAAGGATTTTTGGAAGGATTTTTAGTGGAAGGTTGCTGGAAGAATTTTTAGGTCCTACTCCGATTGTGAACCTTTTCAAAATTATTTTGGGGGTGCTGGGTTTTTGTTGCCTTTTCAAGTTTGTTTGTTTGTTTGTTTTTTTAATTGTGCCATAAATTTTTAACTAGGATCTTGAATGAACTCATTGAATAACTCGCCTTAAAACAACAGTGGAGTGATTGGCCCTAAGCGTTTGCCATTCATTGCATTTTCATTGTCATAATCTGCCCGAAACCTTCCAAGTTAGTTAGTTAAGTCTTAACTTAAAGTTCCTTTCACACATGGCTATCTCTAAACAAATTATGCTTTTTGAATTGCAAGGTATTCCCTCCCTAGAGCCACGCAAATTGTTTCTAATATTATACCGCAATTGACGCTAAGGAAGAGGCTCTGTAATTTCTGGCTGTGTATTGTGGATCTCCTTTTGCAAACAGTGACCAAGTGACACTGTTAGGTGGTAAAAATCTGACTCATCCTTGAAAACTTAAAAAAACAGCTGTTTGGGGCTGTTCTAATTTCCATCCTCACTGTTCTCTAAAAGGGGCATTTTACATAACATAGGCAGAGTCACCAGTGCTCACAGGAACTTGAACCCAGAGCAGAAACAGGACACTCCTAGAGCAGTATTTTGCCTGTGTCTGATTGTTGTAGGGGAAGCTGTGTGATTATTATGCACATGAACATTCATATGCATGCATGTGTGTACACACATCCATACCCTATAAGAGTTACCATTTCAAAAAGTCAGCATTTATATACCAGCCTACAATTGCCTAGCACTTAAAGTGCAGGGAATTGCTGTGTTATTTCCAACATCACTGTGCGGCGATGGGGGGAGATAATGACTTCTTAATGACCACCGCTATACATAAATGCACAAAATAAACAGGATATGGTTATAAACAGTTATGTACAAACAATAAGACTACTCTGAGCTTATACAGGCTCTTCCATTTCAGGCACTTGAAATAATTTTAGCAGCATTTTACAGGTGAGAAACAGAGGTAGGTCTCAGCCAATGCTACAAAATTTTGCCGGGATAATTATCTCTGGTAAGAGCATGAAACTACTATTTCCTGCAGTTCATGTCATTATGACTTTAAAACCCTCAGATCTGAAGCAGCTATTTTGATGATGAACACTTCTGTTAGCTTCATTTGTATCATCTGAGGGTGGAGGGAACAGCACTGGCAGAAAAACATTCTACAAACTATGTTGCATCAAAGTGGCATCTCAGCCTACCTAGCTGTACCAGCTAATTCTGCCCTTTAATTAAAAGGCAATGTTAGAGAAAAGGCTGGACAGATCCTTGAAGGAGAAGAGCAATACAGCAAGTGGGCTGTGTCAAGAGTAGCGTGGTTTCTGTGCTCACTCAGACCTTTCACCTCTTTAAGGATAGCTGAAAATTGCCACAACATGTCTGCGGCAAGAGTGGTGTCTGTCACTAGGAACTGCATTGAGACCTTGTCCCCATTGCACACTGATCAACAGTCCTGTACAACCAAGCCACAAGCTAAGATCAGCTCCCATCACTGCTGACCTGCTGTGAGCTTTCTGGAAGATCAGCTTGTAAGGTACTATTGATCTTCACATAATTTCCTGTTTTAGAAATGGGGGATTGCTCTGAAGAAGCCAGTGGTATAATCTTTCATCAAGGTGGCTCCTTCAAGTGCCTCCCATCGAAATACAACTGGATCTTAGCACGTTATCTGTTTTTCTTCTGCCAGAAGGGGGTCCATCTGACTTCATCCAATCTGTTTTCTTCCGAGCCTTTTTTAGCGTGGGCACCCCCTTCAAACATATTAAAAGATTCTCACATTTTTTCCAAAAAAAAAAAAAATTAAACTCCCTGTTGCTTCTTTTCTCAGTTACTGTCTTTTAAGTAGATAATCTAAACTTCTAAGCTGCTCGCTCACATAAATATCCATTAGTATGTCCAGAATGGCTTCTGATTTTGTAGGCTGCAATTAAAAAAAAAGGCAGAGGAGAGCAACCCTTTAAATAACTGCAGCAACATGCTCCTATTGTCACAATGCTCATAGTTATTATTGTGAACAATGTCTGCCATTAAAATCTCCCAGAGATCAAAGTTTTAACCTTACAAGCCTCTTTTATCTGTAAAGGCCTTCTTGATATAATTTTCAACTGCTCTGGGGACCTATAGGGGGGTTTTAGCATAACCTGACTGCATTCATTGTCCTAAATTTCCACCAAGCTGTCTAAGTTGGGGACAGAGCCAAATCTCCTTTCGCCTTGCAAATCCCACAATGTCTCTGCAGCTAAAAGGAGGATTTGGTTTTACACAGAATTTCTCACACTCAAGGTATCTTAAAGGTTCTTTGCAATAAGAGGTAGAACAATGATGACCCAGAATTCATGACAGCAGATGAGGTAGAAAATCAGTCGCCAGCTGTTGTCTGATAGGAACGGTTAACTGGGATCCCTGGAGCTTGGATCTAGTCTTTTTACTAGAACTATTGGCCATCATGCTGCTTTTTTTCCACTATCCTTCTTTTCACAGGATTTTTAACATCCAATGGGCTGCCCACAAGAGGTGGTCAGAAATAAAGCCAATTTAATGACAGATCAAGAAGATGTAGTCTTTAGCAGAGCAGTACTGTGACCCCTGTGCTTTTTATTATTATCACTGAATCTGAATCTTGGTATGAAACATGAAGCCACAAAATTTCTGATTGGGAAGGAAAAGAAAAGTGATAACTTGTGTCACCATTTGCCCACTATTCCCACTCTAGTTCCTCTACATCCTCACTTTATCAAGCCTTTTGTCAGCCCAGTATAAGCCAGTAGGTTAAAATATGACACAGCACACTATTTAATCACATCTGACACTCCAGTCATACCATTCTCATCTTTGAAAACAGATCCAGACCAGCAATTAGATTATGTATGCACCTAGCATGATTTTGCGTGACAAAATAGTTTTGCTTCTCCCTGTTGACTTCCCTTTGGCTTACGTTCTAATCACTTCCTATAATGCTAACCATTGAATACATTATCATTACCTTGGTACCTCTAAATTACCTCTAAATTCTCTTTTTCCCTCTTAGATATTTATACAGTGAATTAAAATCACAGTAGGACATCTATGACTTTGCTTTCACTTGCTGAGATTTAAGTTGCCTCTCTCATCTGTTGATAGATGCATGTAGCATAATGCAAGCAGGATATTAAAAAGCTAATTCTTTTTCTTTCCCTTCTTTAAATATCTTGCTTTTTTTTTTAAGGATCAGCTAACTCGAGTAGCTCTTTTGTATTCCTTTATTAGCTTGCAGCATGCTTTGTTAAGCATGACATAGCAACACAACTTAAAGTGGACGAGGTTGACCATGATGAATGTGTTTTTTAAAAAAGACTAATCCACCATTTAGTCTGATTTCCCCTCTCCTGTTATGGCTTTTTTAAAGTGGGCAAATAGCAGAATGACTTGGAAGATTTTTGCAATAACGACAATTAACATAGCAAGAACTCCACTCATGCCTATAAAAATTACTAGAAAGGCTAGGCTGATTTGTATCTCCTGAACTACAGTATATTTCAAGAGAATGTGCTCTATAGGTAGAATTCAGTTTCATTAGAGCACTACACGGATTTCCACTACAGAGAGGCTGCTAAATCTCTCACCTTCCTCCTCTTTGCAGCAGGAGAAAGTGAGATATAAAGCTAATGGTGGCCCCACCATTACTATCCATGCTGGGTCACTAGCATTGCACATGTGCACAGTGGGCCAACAAGTACAGTGCTAGGTCCACAGTTATGACTACAGAAGATGGGAAGCAATGCTGGATCTCACTCCACAGACTTTATTGCCAGGAGTTCCAATTCAAGCCAACAGTGCAGTACGGGGTGCAGTAGCTCCACCAGATTTGATTGGAGATGCACAAATCTGCATCAGCAGAGGATCCGACCCAATGAAGTCAAAGGAGAGAAAAAACAGAAAAAGTGACAACAGATAACAGTCTCGTGGTCTCATGCTCTCCATTAAGACACCATTAAACCCAGTAGCGCTCTCCCAGTTGGAGCTGCTGGGTCAGCAAGCAAGGACTTGGCAAGTGGACCTCTGTGGCAAGCAGAGCTCCTGCCACAACACAGGCATTGCACTGCACGACTACGGGCTGCAGGGTGAGGGTATAGTGCTCCCTACTGCAACACATACAAGGAGCAATGCAGAGCTCACAGAGCCAAAATCACTCCCAGGATAGGCCGGAAACTTCCCTGGAAGTCAGCAGAAATGCATTCACTCATACCAGCAGGAATCTGATGGTTTCCATGGCCATCCTTTTGCCAACATCCATTTTTAATGGAAAGCACAGGAGCTTTCCGTTCTGCCTCTCCCCATAGCTACGCAATGCAGAAATTAGCCTTATTTTATACTATAGGTGAAATCCTCAAATCACTAAATTCAATGGTAATTGTCCTCTTGACTTCACAGAATCACGGAAGGGCTGAGGCCAGAAGGCACCTCTGGAGATCATCTGGTCCAACCCTCCTGCTCAAGCGGGATCGGCTACAGCAGGTTACCCAGGACAGTGTCTAGTCAGGTTTTGAATACCTCCAAAGACAGAGAGCCCACAACCTCTCTAGGCAACCAGTTCCAGTAGGATGCTTCATTAGGAAGTCACACTGTGCATCTGCAAAAAATCAAATAAATAAATAAATCACTAGAAGTATGTCCAAGCATGCACATGCATTCCTTTCTTGGGGACTCTTTCCTCAGCTAGGCTGTGAAAATCTCAAATTTAGCAGAAATTGTACAGGAATGTCTTCAGTAAACACAGTCTCGGTCTGCAGATCATTTGCAAACACTTTGTCTCACTGATTCACCATTCGTAGTTCACGCTCTGTTGATTTCTTACATAAGCTGACCTCTTAGTTTCTGAATGATTTATGTAACTCTACCACCCAGCACAAAATCTAAATAGGAAATTTTACACTACATGAGATATTCTCTCGGTAAATATTTGTGCATTTCAGCTTGACATTTGCCTTACACAGGAATAAGAAACCTCAAGCACTCAGATGACTGTCAAATGCAGACCCAAATGGGTTGCAAACAAACCCACTAAATCTGAATTCACTTTCAAATGTGAATAAGTATTCACAGAAAACTGATCATAAAATTCACTCAGCACTCACTAATAATGCTTGGGAAGTGTATTTGCTTATTATTCTCGCTGGTCAGTGGGTGATTTTTAAAAAAAGCTGCATTTCTTGAAGTTCACCTTCTCCTAATTTATGGCAAATGACCTTCCCATTCACCCCATTGAAACTGCATGTTATCAGCTGCTAAAGCTTGCCCTAAGCTTCTCCTGCCTTCCTTTCTCTTCCACTTACAGGCCTTAGCCCTGCAGGTCTTTGAAGGGGATCTCCCTGGGTTTTCATCAAGGAAGGATAAACAGAAGAGAGTTGGGAAGTTATTTGGGCATTCCACTTAACAAATCCTCTGTTTTTTTCAAGGAATGAAGAAGATATGTCCCTTGAGCTCTTTTGCCTATTCCTGGTGTGTAATAGAGTTGTGGGCCGTAATCTTTTAGGCCTCAAGTTTGTTTCAAGCACTAGGCAGTGAGACCAGTGTTGGCACCTGGCAGCTGATCTAAACCTCTCATTCACAGCTTCCTATGGCTCCGTCAGGCTGGATCCAGCGCTCCAGATAAGGTTGCCTCATGCTACTTTAGGCCAAGCGTTTCGTGGTCCTGCTACGCTTTTCTGTCAGCAAGACTTTTCTAAAATTCAGTTCTGATTTGCCGTTTTAACGTGCCAGTTGCATTCTAATTTACTGTTTGCCTAATAGAGGGCAAATAATTCTCTTGCTAGTATTTGTAATCTTTGTCTATTTATACCAAATTATCAAGTCCCTCTAATCAAACATACTTTGTTTGGCTAAAATTCAACTCTTATTTGTTCCTACCTCTCTTTATCTGCTTACCATATTTTATCCCAATGTTGCTTTTCCAGTTCCTCACATTTAGCATCTGCTATGTTTTCCTTGGATCTCCAGCCACAAAACAAGCCTGAGGCACCTATCCTGCACAATCCCGAGCCCCTACTCCAGATCACTGAGCAGTCTCACTGCATCGAGAAGTAAGTGGAAGCTGAGTGCTCCCCACAGGACTGCGCCTGCATCAGGGCTCCACTGCTTCTGAGACCATGACTCTGCTTTGCGTGTTCCCTACTTTAATCTTTTCCTTTCCTCATGCTTGTGAACCTCAGAGCCCTTCAGATTTTCCACCACTCCTTTAATGAAGTTCGTTGTGCTCATTTTCATTTTGTTTGCTCCCCCATAATTACAAAAAAAAAAAACTTTTTTTTTCAGTTTGCAGATTACTCACTTAAAAGGCAAAAAAAAACCCCCAGTGAATAGAAATGAGAATTCTCAACAACATTTAAGATACATAAATAAATAAATGAATCTGTAGACTTAGATTCTAAGGGAAATTGACCCAAATTACTAATTAAGTGACAAATTAAGTGATGACTGCTGTCACTATAATTAGCATTAATAAAAGCTGCTGGATGTTCAGATCTATGCACACTTAAGCCAATTATTTAGGAACCTATAACCTAACTTTAAGCCTAACTTTAGGAACCTATTTCTGACAAATTTGACCAAAGTATCCTCTAGAGAGAGAAGCAAAGTGAACCAAAAAAATTTACTGTAAGTCACTGTAATATTCCATACTTGCAATAAAAACAACGGCAGCTGCTTCACAACAGGCAGAAAGATTCCTCTTTATTTAAGGGGATAGGAAGGAAAAAAGAGACAGAAGGACTCTTTCTTTCATTGCTGTGTTACTCAAGGTGCAGGTTTCAGAGGATATTTTAGAAGGCTTTCAATAATACATGGCATTACTGGCAATGTTGACTGACATCATTTAGAGCTAATAGGGCAAAACAGGAATTGACACAATTTTTTCTGATTTTTTCCCATTAAAAAAAATCCCCATAGATCCATTATTAGTTCCAGAAAAGCAGTGAATTAACCAGATATATTTGATATTGGGTTCAAATTCACAGATAATGCTACAGTGCAGCCCTGAAATATCTAAATATTTTGACAGCAAGACTGGGCTGGAAATATCTTTATGTCAGCACGTCTTGTGCAACTTCGCATTTGCCTGTTCCTGGTCATTTTGCAAATAGGTTGTTTTTCTTCATAGCTTATTGAAATCGGTGAGTTTTACACCTTCCTGAGCTGTTTCCTTGATGTTTTGACACTTCTATTTCTGCTCCTGATAAAACCTAGGAATTATAGAGGTGCAATTACAGGGGTATCCACAGAGGTAACTGGCATTTTGGAGATTAGGCAATGTTGAATACAGGAAGGTGATTTTATCTGAGCTAGGCGGCACATCCCTCATCAAGAGCATACAGGTATAGCAATGAAAAGAAGAACTTGCATTTCGCATTTCTGCTAATACATGCAAAATCCACATAGCCATGTTCAGCTGTCAAGGCCCATGGATGGTTTAATTGTAATTTACAACTTCATCCTGGGTGGACTCCAACCCTGCAGCGACTCTCCCTCAGTTTGTACCTAGATGAGACTTCAGCTACTGCTGCTGCTGCTGCTGCTGCAAAAATGTCTTTACCTGCTGTAATAATGTTTTACCTTTCTCTGAGCCCCTACAAAAGAAATTGTAGCTCAGATACTGATCTCATTACAAAGAACAATTCTTGAGTCTCCCATATCATAAAGGAAGTCTAGTGAGGTCCACAGCCAAGTGGAGCTAAATTCTCTTGGCACGTAGCCCTGTTACACTGCCCTGTTACAGTCTGAAATGCTTTTTTTCCCAATCCTGCTGTGGCTGCTGGCTCAGGCAGACACTATGAGCTGACTCTTTAGTCTCAGTCAGGTTGTCTCACAAATGGGAGTGACCAATTAGATTATCTTCTCTTATTATCTAATTAAATTTTACTTCATCTGAGGAGTTCCGTCATTAGAGCATTTGGCGGCATTCACAACTGGTGTGTGAGGAAGAAGGGAAAAGTAAGAAGTGATTAATAGGCAGCAATAACAAAGGAGAAGGAAAAAAGACCATAAAGGTCTTTTAAAACTTATTTCAAAATACAAGACAAAGTAGAGAAAAGAGTAAAGGAAAAACACATTAAACAGCGCATGAAAAAGGCCATGTTGAAATAGGCAGAGTATAACTCACTTCCGGAATTCACTGCTGCAGGAAGTGACTTTTAAAGATGATTATTTTGAATCTGAGACCTTCTTTGGAATAAATCACATTCACTTCAATGAGAGCCCACCCTGGAAAAAAAAAGAAACAGTAATCAATCAGGAATCATGAATATGAGTTTAAAGGCTTTCTCCAAAGTTGATTTTTCAGGCCCATTGTGTAGATCTATTTCAGTTTCTGGATCATTTAGCAGATAAGGAGTCCTGACCTTCTTTCTTGCCAGCTTAGCTGCTGGAAGTGTGTGCTTAATTCACATGCTAACAATCCTAAGGACACTTTTATTGAATATAATAACATAGTAATGCAGCCACAGTTACTGATTTTTATGCGGTAGGAAAAAGGCTACCTTAATTAATTTTCTCAAAACATTACAAGACATCAAACTTTATTAAACTAATCACCAATTTGTGCTATAATTCTAATCCACTTTAAGTTGTACAAATGAAATTTTGAAGTTTCTAATCTATAATGCTCTATTTATTTATTTATTTATTTAGTCAAAGACATGTTGGAAGCCTGTAGTTTAACATTTCAGAGCTAGTTTCTACTCAAAAAAAGTCACTAAAATTTTTTTCTTTGCTTTTCCCATCCCGTTCATACACTGCTGTCTTTAAAACACTAGATGATTTCCCTTACAGCGCTGTTCGAACAGCACAGACAAGGGTGGCCACACATTCCTGGCTGCTGTAGAAGAGCAGGGATGTGAGTAGCAGGAAAAATGTAGAGTCAGGGGAATGGTAAATATTAAGACCATTGCTGTTGGCTGTAGTTACAGTTAAATTGGGCGACTCTCATCTACATTGTAAACTGGCGGGTCCTGACTGCTGCTGGAGTCGAGTATGCCCTTATCTGCACACCTTCTTGCAAGACAGGTACCTTCACAGCACTGAAGTCACTCAGTGTTTATTTATGAATGTTACTGGTTCTGTTTGTCTCTTAGTTCTGAGGAGGCTTATAATGTTAATTCTGGGATAGGATCCTTCAGAAATATACTCAGGAAATGCTATAGTTTGGAGAGGATGTGCACTCTAAGCAACACTCTGAAAATACTTGACACAGGAGAGGATCCTCAACCTTGATGTTCCTTCACTATCATGAACTAATCTGAGAGTACAGCCTGAAAGAGTGAGAATTTCCCTTAGCATTGTAAAGGGCCAGAGATACCACTGGTCTTGCAGCAATGACAGTGGAGTCTAGCTCCACTCCTCTGGATGAATATTGACAGTCTCTGTGAATTAAGTCGATGATCTCATTCCAGGTCATCCTATATGTGAATACACAGTAGCAACGGGCACACACCTCTCTGCCGTGCCACAAGAGAGCCTAAAGCCTGAACTGGCACAGTCACCAGTCTCTAAAATATCTGCTCCTTCAGCTCTGGAGTGACTACTGCCAGCCAAGTAGGACAGAAAATCTTCCATTGCTGCTATCCGTACTTTCTTTTTGTAGATTAATATAAGATTTTCAGGGACCAGTAGTTATTTCCTTTGTGGATTGCTATCTTTATTTGAAAGAAGAGGGAAAATAGCTTTTTTCTTTTTAATCTGTTTAGTGAGCTTTGTCATGTTTTATTAAAAATGCACACGCTGTGCGTTCAAGAGAATGGGACAAAATGCACGGCTAAAGACTTCTTGGAAAGACATTAAATTATACAGTATACAATTATACAATAAAGCAATGGAGATGCTGAGCCGACTTTCAGTCTTCAATCAAACGACATTTTTTCCTTCCTTTAAATTCTTCTGGAATTCTTTTTCTGAAACTTTGTTTAAATTCTTCTGCAAAAGACTAGAAATTCCCGAGAGAAACTGATCACATAATCTAAAGAACATTATTTTACAGTATTTTACAGATATTTTGGATCAGGTCACTGACTTCTATGGCTTTTATGACAGAAAAAAGATCCAAAATTTTAACCCAAAATTTCAAAGTTCAGAGACGCTTCCTGATGTGGGGTTTGTGCCCTCTTCACTGTTCATAAGACAGAAGCTGCTGCAGATTTTTCTCTCTCACTAGTATTCTGCAAGCCACCAGTAATGACAGATATTTTTAAAGCTACAGTTAGCAAGACAGTATATATTGAAACTCTTCCTTTTTATTATTGCTTTTGATGCACACAAATCCTTTAAGAGGAGTTTTAGCAATTGTTCTATTATTGCATGTCTCCTTTCCCCTTCAGATGAATTATTCATACTTTGTTGTCATAGCAATCCTTTCTCTCTCTGAAATGTTTAATAACTAATGTTGACTCCAAACTAGACAATGAATCAAGTTGTAACAAAAGCTTTATTAACTAATGTGCTTTAAGGTAGGTGCATTGTTTGTCTCCCACCTACACTTACCTTAAGCGGTTGACAGTCCAGGCCAGTGATATTAATGACGACAGCAATGACAGCAAAGACACCTGTAAGAAACATTCTTTACATAAACTAATTTCTTAATACCTATCTCCTTGGCAGAGTAATGAATGTCCACTTTTTTGTTAATCTCAATACTTTTAAAAGCAACAGTGAAAAGCCACTGCTTTCTGCAAAGGACTCCCCTTTGTGACAGATGTGGTACTGGGGCTCAGAGGGACAATTAGGACCACACAAAAGGTGAGGTCTTAATAGGGGGAAGGGGGGCACAGCCATTTCCCAATGTTTTAAGCCTATGCTTAAATTAAATACCCATATACCCATTTGGTCTTATTGTCTAGTTGTCTTCCACACAGCAGACCAAGCAGAAGTTGATCCAACCTATCTGTTCGCATTACTGTGGTGAGTAACGTGACTGATATTTACAGCCAAGCACTGTATTAGAGCACATCATAACCTTTCCACCTACTATACAGCTGAGGAGGCAAAATCCGAGGGCAAAAAAGTATCCAGTGACTACACAGATTTGAACTTTTCCAGCTATTTTTACAATAGTGCCTTTGGGGAATACAGTCATACAGGGTAAATATCTCTTATTTTTATTTTCCCTAGCAGAAAGATAGCAGGTTCTTTGGCAACAGTGCCAGGTTATGCAACTGTAGACATAAAGCTGTGCTAATAAAGATATTTTTCCTTCCTCTGAGGAAGCTAGGTAACCAGCAGCTGCAGGGTACCACTCTCCCAGAAGCAGCAGTGGCTCCCATGTTTTTGGGCCCAACCAGTGGCGCACTCGCTCTGATCCAACAAATCTATTTCATGTCCCTGCATACTTTTTTGAAGTCAGTGATATTATACTTCAAAACCTATTTTGAGCTCTCTGTTTGGGTTCTACAGTCACATCATCCAGCCTATATTCCCTTGATTTGATAGAGCACTGGTCTTCCCTATGGCATTTCAAAAGCTGAGAAAGTGGCACTGTCCACAAGAAGGAAGGACAAACTTTGTGTTTTACAACAGTTCAGTGCAAGCAGCTACGTAATTCCTATCCATACTCACCTTGCAGTTTCATATATATCCAGAACTGTTTTCCTCTTGGCAAGAACAAGGCGCACTGTTGGTCTTAAGCAGCTGACAAACTGTACTGCAGCCAGAGGTGTGTGTACGTGGTAGTCAAATTACGGGTTAACTCGTATGGCTGTATGGCAGGAGGAGGGGACGGTTCTGAATGGAAATGGAAGGGCCCAACTCACACTGTCAAATTCAGCCAAAATTTACCCAAGAGTCAATGGAATCCTTGTTCTAAAACTGCAGTATCTGGCCTGTAAGTAGTAAATCAACTGATACAACAACCTATAAACCTAACCTTCCAGCTGAGAGGCCTGACAGACATGTAAATCATTATAGTTTCTGATGCTTGTTCTAACTCAGTCCTTTTTCTTGGGGGAGAGTTTATAGGAAAAACAAAGGCTTCCATTTTAAGATAGCAACTGCCTCAAAACCTAAGTAAGGCATTTGGCATGAATGCCTTATTTTTGCCCAGCCTGCTGGGATAACAAATATTATCGTCCTAGGCCAAGCCCACATGACAAAGATTTCCTTCCAGAGAGAAGTGTGAAAAGTAGTTGTGTTCCCTAGCAGTCCAGCAATGTTGGCAAAACTCCTACCAGACAAAAGATGTCATTTAGAGAAGTGATGCTAGGCGCCCGCGGATGTCTTCCTTTTGCTAATTTAAGCTTCCTGTCTACCTGTGGTGTGTTTAGGGGAAAAAGGGGAACTTTGCCAATATAGCTGTCAAGAGAACTTCTGTGAAGACCAGTTGTTATGCTGAGAGATGGGTATGAGGGCACAGCATCTTTTCAAATTCATTCCAACTCTGGAAACATTTTTTTGCTGTCATTATCTTATTTTACTCTTTCTACCTATAGTTTTGGAAGTGTCTACAACCAACTTACTCCCTTCAGTCAGGGAAGGTAAGGCAAGCTCAGCAAGCTTTGCCTCTGCAGAAACTCTGATTTGCTCTTCTGTCCATATGCAGAGTGGTATATCCTGCATCATTTATTCATCCAGTTTAGTTTATGTATTTAATCTAACAAGTACTTCATCTATTCAATGCCTTGTTGAAAAGGTCCACAGGGTCCTTTCCAGGCTTCTGAGACAGGTGGTAAATATAAAGCAGAATATGCATGTAAATAATGGATTGTGATATTTTTTGACACTAGTGTTCATTATGGAGGGCCTATACCAAAACCTAAATTATTATAATATTTTTTCATATATCATTATTTGCTACTTTGCATCTATTTTACTACATAAATGTGTAATAAATGGTCTCTGGGTTAGACTATATTCAACTTTTCTAGCATATTAAAATCAAAACAAGTGATGTAAAAGAAGAACAGAAATTTAATAAAAGTATCTTGAAGATTGAATAGACATTTCAGAATTTTGAAGCAGTCATTTTCCATGCAAAATAGAATGAATAATACAGTACACAATATGTGGCTGTGCATCAGTTTGAATTTAAATCATGTTATTGTTTTTTAAATCACATAAAAATACAGGCCTTGTCCAGCAAACTGTGCCAGCTAGTGAGTTCACTTCACAATTTGAATTCAGTTATTCTCATTGAATCAACAGTGATTATAAAAAAAGCATATGCTGAAGTTTTGGTGGCCAAGACTTACCTGAAGAATCAATCTCTTAGAGTCCTAGCACAGTCCCACACATTGTTTTTTGATTCTTGGTCTTCTACCAGGCCTATCTTTGCTTTTTTTTGTTTGTTAGGCTTTCTTTTTTTTTTCAGATCACTTACTGAATAAACTACCAGAATGGTCTTAAAACTCAGTTTTAGCTTCTATGCCTCAGCTCACCATTATAACACCTAGGTACCAGAGCCATTGAGTGCATACACTGATTGGTTCTGAGATTTTCGTGATCCAGTAAATTAAAAGGAAATTTATCTTTCTTAGAAGTCAGGTGTCCAGTTGCTTCTGTGGACCAGGCAGTGTCTTGCAGGATCATTACTGTGAGAAAAGGAGTTCAAGTAAGCTCACTTGCGGTGCATCAGATGCAATCCATCAATTCTTTGGTCTTTGATAATCCTCCTAGACAGCTCAAAAGCCACAGGATTGAGAAAAGAGCTGAAGTCTGGAAACAAAATAGTCAATAGTCTCATCTCATTCTTGTGCTGCCTGTATAAGTATGGCCATAGGTCTACAGTAGGGAATAGCCTTCTATGGAAATATTCTTATCTCTCAACACACACTTCAGAACTCTTTCATCCCATTTTTGTTTCCAGAAAGCAACAAAGAAGGGCCTATAAACAACTTCTAAGTTCATATTCTCCTAAGTAAGTTGTAGCAGCGTGGCACATTTCTGTGAGAAATGTATATTCTGTGAGTCAGCTGTACACAGCTTTATACCATCCATTCATTTATCCCATCTCTGATGAATACTGATTTGGACTTCAACAGCCAAACAGGCCGAAGGCCCAGCATCTTCATCCTGCTATATCTCTCGGGCATAGCTTTGCACATGTGATAGAGAGTTCGTCCTTTCTACTCCCAGGTATATGGGGGTATCTCAAGAAGCAACATCCAGAGCTGCAATTTTTGAGGTCCAGTCATCCTCAAAGCCACAGCAATGATGTTCCAAGACTTCAATGCAAGAAGCTACGTCATCCTTTCAAGCGGCATTCACTATGTCTCTCTGTTATTGCCTCAGACACATAGCTTTGAGTTAAAAGCCATTAACCATTACTTAACATTTACTAAGCAGCAGCCTAGCTCAGGACCTTAAGAATTCCTTCAGAGAATGGATGACCTGAAAAAGTAATATGAATAAAAATACTGCATATTTTAACTTGTCTTTATTGCCACAAGGACATACCTTAAAAGCAAATGGACGCATGAACCTGTGACATCTCTCTGCCTCCCATCAACTAGCAGACTCCACATCAGGGGTGTCTGTTCTTCAGACAATCGTATTTCATCAGAACAGAGCAGCTGAGAGACCAGATTTATGTTTTCCTGGCCTGGAAGAGAGAACGCCATCTATAGCAGTCCATTCTCTATGGAACACCTTGCTGAGGGAGATCACAGTGCTTTTGGAAACCAATGTGTCTGGCTCGAAAGGGAAATCTTGTGCACTTTTCTCAAGACTCGTTAACCTAAAAAAAACATACTGCTATTGTTAGGAGGGAGAGAGAGAGCAGGAACACCTTGATTTTTTTGTTGTTCCACATCTATATTTGACATACCTTAAAAATATGATCTCTGGAAGAGCAGGAACACAGTGGCTGTGCGGCCCCTTATCAGCATCAGCAACTACAACTCATAAAAGCAGTACTCTGCCATGGGGGACTGAAAACTCACCTGTAGGTAGACAATATCACTACTGGTGATAAAAGACTGTGTGTGCGCAGCCCTCCACTGCCCTGTACTTTTACGCACGCTAATGAGTGCATTTGAGCTCCGGGACAGGTTGCTGGTCATGGCTGGACATGTCAGAGGACAGCAGGACCACCGTGCTGCCACCAGCCAGAGAGCAGTTGAGTTCTCAAACTGTGATCACCACTCACACCTCCTATATACCTGTCCCTCCAACAGAGTTTGGACGTAAACTTTCTTCCTATTTCTGGGAAAGGAAAAGCCTGCAAGCAGAAATGTATGTCCTCAAGCTCCCTCCTGAACTGGCTGCTCTTATGGCTTCTGCCTGCAGGATCTCTCCTGTCCCTTCTTCTCTCTCTCACTCGTCTCAAAGAAAAGTTCAGTCTTTTTTACTTCTGAGTTAATGAGCTAGCCTTCCTGACCTGACTGTCAGGATGAATCAGTAGACTAGTTTTGCACCTCCATGCCACACTGACATTCTCTCTCAAGTGGATTTAGCATCATTTAATAATATTTTCGCTGTATTAGCCCAGCGGTGATTCTAACATACCTTAGAAGCATGAGTTGATCATTAATATTATTTTTCTTAAGGTGGATCTCATAGCCCAGCTTCATCCTAGGTACAAGAGAGGTTGCTCTTTGTAATCATCTGGATCCACAGCTACTGGTTGGTGGGTGACTATTTCTATCCATTTGCATAACTCTGTATATGTTTAAAGTGGATTCCAGTTTGGAAGAATATTTTTAAATCATATTCCTAACTTAAATTTAATATACTTTTATTAGTAAACCTATATACAATTTAAATTTAAATACAGGCAACTCACATCAATGCCTATACTTACGATAATCATAAAATTATTTGTATTAAATAAACATTAATATTCCTATAGTACATGTGAACTGCTGAAAGTAAATTACTAAACCGGTTAACTCATGAGTTAGAGTTTTAGATCCAAACCTGGCAACATACGGAACTAGTTAAAAAAACTATAGCCTCTTCTGCAAGTGTAGGGACTATATTTTATGCATTTCTGTTTGTTTAGTTACTTAAATTCAGTAACTAATTCATTCATAGCTGAGAAATTTCTGGCTGCTAAAAAAACTGGATAGCTTATTATCCCCTTCCAAACCGTAAATATAAATGAGGTGTAACACACTGAGATCTGCTAGTTCTAAAATCATGACAGACATGATGATCAGAAACTATTAGTACAATTTGTTAACCATAGACAATACTTACTTTGTTTAATGAATCAATCAGTTTTAAAATCCATTTCAATAAATTAACATTTTCCCTGAGTAACCAGCTATTTAAGGTGTTTTAATTTAACTAAAACAAATAACTTTACAACATTGCTTTATGCTTTTTAACTGAGTTGCAAATTCCATCCAACTGCAGCTTAACACAAAACACAAATGAAAGCATAATCATAATAAGGTAAATAGTAAATATAGCATTCATCATTCTTGTAAATTACTTTAAAATTTTAATCTGACTAAAAGTATACCAGGCTAAATACCTACATATGTATATATACACATGCTGGCTAAACACATGCATATTATATATATATGCATATAAAATATATATTTACCCAATTAAACCAAATCCCCACATCTAGCATAAAGCATGCATTTAGCGTGTTTCTGTGGTTACCAACCACAGAGGTCCAGCAGTCCTTTAGGAAGGTAACTAATAAGCAAAAATGCAAAACAAGATTAAAATTGACTATTTAAAACTAAGTAAGTTTCCTGTTTGCTGATTTAAATGATGATTAAAATTGGTAATGGTAATCAATCCACCCTTGTAAACTCCTGCTTTTTGTTAGAAACACAGCTATAACTTTTTTTCGTGGCAGAATATATTACAAATGAAAATAAAATAACTTTTTGTAGTCATTTATATCCAGGCAGCAATTTCTTAAGCACGGAGGGCCCTTATACTGTGCTGGGGAAATTCTGCAGACTGGAAGTTAGTGGGTAAGCATCTCTTAGGACTGGCATCAATCCAGCATGATATCATTCTGCTGTAGACTTCTGCTTAATCTGAAGCCACCTTTAAGATCATTTACATGTATGTAATTCTTTAATTAACACTGCACGCACTTTGTAACATTAGCATAATATCCAGCAATATTATTCACATTTCCTTCATCAGTACGGATTATTACAAATACCACAGCACATGGAAAACTGCCAATTTCAATTGAGACACTTTTTTTTCTGCCCATAATTCAATTTTTTTTTGCATGCCTTCACAAAACAGAGGAATTTTCAAGAGACAAATTACAGCAAGCTGCATAAATCTTTTTTAAAAAGGCAACATTCTTCATCTCAGTCATTCCCTGGTCACCTCTGGAGTGTGTGGGAAACTCTTTTACCAACCCTTCACCTCTTTCCCATGCTCTTGTGAAGAGAAAGACAGTCAAAGTCTTGTCGTTCAAGAGCCAAAGCGACAGCCCTGAAGACTGTAGCCTCCTATAAATCCATCTAATAAGAATTACAGAGTTACCAGAGTTACCAGAAATTCAGAATTGCCTTCACAGCCTTGTCAAGAGAAAAATTAATATGGGATGAGAGAGAGGCCTATTTTGATTTCAGCTTCCTTCTTCGGGACACTCAACGGCAGCATTGCATACAAGTCTTTATAAGGCAGGAACTGTTAATACAAAAGTCATGAGGCAAATTTAGAATACTCCACCAGGTCAAAATAAAACTTATTAGCAAGGCAGTCACTAAAGTTCTGCTGTGCAAGGAGCAGAGGACATCTTAGACGGAGAACGTACACGTGGAATACGCAGAGCTCCACATCCTGCCCCAACGTTTTGCATACCGTTTCCCCCACAGAGCATGGCTAGCTGATGGCACGACAGCTTTGCTACACGGAAACTGTTACATGCCTGGCCAAAGCAGGGCCTCATTCAGGTCCTTGCCCAGGGGGTCCAGCCATTGCGCTGAAACAGCTGAGCATGGCTAGCTGATGGCACGACAGCTTTGCTACACGGAAACTGTTACATGCCTGGCCAAAGCAGGGCCTCATTCAGGTCCTTGCCCAGGGCCCCCAGCCATTGCACTGAAACAGCTGCCACAGAATAGGCTTGTGTCTTATCTGCTCCATGGGCACATTTCATTTCTACTGTAGCTAAACAGCTTTGGAGAGGGAGACTTGTATTTCAACTTTTGTTAAGCAGAAAAGAGTGAAAGAACGTGCCTTAATTTTGGAGAAAACATTTGAGAAAAAATCAAAGTGTCCCACTCTTTTTTCCCATTGCTCCCAGCAAGTGACCAGGAGGTTCTGGCACCGATGACCAGTTAAAGAGCAGCCATTAGACCTCACTGAGGAAAATCAGAGCATCAGTCATGAGTTTCCTCTCCCACGAGGTCTTCTATAGCCAACCTGTAGTTAAATGCTCTCTTAATCGCATCCATCTGTGTTCTAGATAGAGGCACATCTTCACTGAAGAAGAGAAAACAGAAGAAAAAGACATCGTGGATATGAATTTCTTTAAACATATGGGACAAATTATCAACATTTAAATAATCCTACCGTTGGGGGAAATTATTACCTGTTATTACCTTTCTTAGCTAATCTATCATTTGCTTTGATATCACGTGTCCTGGCAACATTCTGCACAACTGAACCGTGCAAGAAGAACGTAAGTACCCAAAATGCAACTACAAAAACTTGCCAAACCCTCGGTGAACCAAAGCCAAATATTTTGATTTGGTTTAAGAAACCAAAATATTTTAGTTTTGTCCAAAAAAGGTCAAAACAAAATATTTAATTCTAATATTCTTGATTTAAAAAAGAAAAAGAAAAATAAAAAAAGAAAAAACTAAAAAGGAAAAGAACAAGAACAAGAACAAGAAAGCTTTTGGAAGCCTAATTCTTTTTTATTTAGTTTCCAGAAATTACATTTTCCACAGAAGAAATCACACAGGTACAAAATTACCAATAAGCTCTGGGTTAAAATAATGTAACTCATTGTGCTGTGTTTCATAATCATCTTTGCAATCCTATTGCATATTCTGCACTAGAAAAAGGGGCCACTCCAAATTTGGTAACCTGTGCAGAGTGCTATGGAGAAAGATGGAGGGCCAGGGGGTCAAAAATCCCAAATCCCCAGTCACTACAAAGTGGTTGTTATATGTGGTATAGGCTAAGTGCTAATAATGAGCTACATGCAATGAAGCTACATCCATTTAGGAACTTGGATGAAAATTATTTTTCAATGTATGACTTAACATCTGAGGGTCAAAGGAGGATACACTTTCCAGTGAAAAATGACAACTCAAATGGCTCCATAACAAGGTCCATTGTCACAGACCCCTTCCACCCTCTGCCGCTTCACAAGTTCCTATTTCCTTCGTGCTGCTGTAGCATGGGGAGCTGCACCTGTCAAATCCAGCACCAGGAAACAAGAGGAGGAGGTTTTTCTCAAGCTGATCAGGTCCCCGAACCACCACTGCCCAGTCACACGCAAAGTGGCAGGACCATGCAGCCAGGGAGAGTGAGGAGCATCGATAGCCTCAAAGAGATCGGCTTCTGTCACCACTGAGGTGTTCTCTAGGTCATAAAACTGTGTGTGTATGGCCGTGGGGGTGGGAATGTGCATAAGGTAGACCTTTATCCTTTTAAAGC